CTGGGTGTCAAAGGAATCTGTGGTTTACATGATAGGGAAATTGTGCATGCAAGGCAGGGGAATGCATGTTGAAATGCACACTAGCATTGTTGTAGGAACCAGAGCTTAAATTTCCATGTGTAAAAAATTATGAACTTTGCAATTTATTTTGATCTTAAGGTTGTCAAGTTCTTCCAGCACCCATGTACTTCTAGACTTAGATCACTGGTAATGGGGGCAGGAGTAGATGCTGCTGTCTGCTTTATACATAGCTGTCCTGGGAACAGTCCAGCTTTTCTCCTCCATCCCACTGTGAGTTATTAACCCCAAAGAGCTATTTCATGTGTCTCAATGCTCTGCCCCTGCTTTACCCTGTGCAGAGAGAAGGTTCATGCATGACTGAGGATGACTCTGTGGACATCGAGAACGAGAACGGCAACCGCTTTGAAGAGTACGAATGGTGCGGGCAGAAGAGGATACGGGCTACTACTCTCCTGGAGGGAGGATTTCGAGGTGCGCCAGGGTTTTGGGGGCCCTTGTAAATCGTTCTGCTGTGGAAGTTGGTAATTGCCTATCTTTAAAGGGAGGGACCTGGACATTTGCCTTTCACAAAAGGCGGGACCTTCAGCCTTTGGCAGAATGTAAAGTGATTTCAGCTTTCTGTCTCTCGAGTGATGAGAGTCAAAATTTGTGCAAATCTTGAACAAAAGCATGGCATTATTTCTTGCTTGAAAAACGTGGCTGAAGAGGGAATGAGTAGGAATGGGTAGAGTGGGGAGATCGTTTGGGGAAAATAGGTTCTTATATGTTACACATAGTAAGAAATACGTGGAAATATGTGAAGAGAGGGAAATAGAAATGAAATAGTAAAAATTCCCAGCCTGGAGTGACGAAAGCTGGTGTATCGGCCTCTGGTGATGTATTGAAGGTGACAGCTAAGTCGCTTTAGCACCTGCATAAAATATTAAAGGGCCAGTTGTGCATTTATCACTCCATCCCTTTTAAGATTGATAAATGAGAATCCAGGAACCTGCTCTGCACCTCCAGCACTGCAAGCCCTTAGGGCTCCTAGGCAAACACATTTTATTTTTCCTCCTTTTTTTGCTCCTTCCCCAGTGACGGGGAGATCAGTTACGGAGGAGAGAGTGAGTTATGGCAAAATTTGACCTCTTGTGAGCTTTATTGGTGAATGTAATTTTAGCTAGAATCCTGGCCCCTTTCTTACACTCAGCCCTTTGGCCTCGAAGAGGAGGATTTACTAAACTGTTCGTTGGCATGAACCTCTGGCACTAAGGAGAGTCTCTCGTAAGCAATCCACGTAGCGCATGCCTAATGAGAAGAGGAGTGCTGGCTCCCTCCGTTCAATAAAGAGGATGGGATGTGATCTCTTCCTATATCAGCTTGGATTTTAATTTAAAGTATCTCAAGGGAAAAGGCTGCTACATAAGGGAGTTGGACTTAAAAGCTAGCCGTGTGCTCAGTGGCAACCTGGCACTCCTGATCTGCTCTTACCTTCCTCTCAAATTAAATTGTTGCTGGGTTGTAGCAGAGCAGATGATCAGGAGCACAGAGGTTATGGGGCAGCTTCTTTGGGTTTTAAAGGCTACCCAGTGAAGCTCACACTGTCACTTTGTGTGTCTGTAGCCTTACCTACCTTAATTTTTTTTTGATGCCTGCATGGAGAGTTGCGTCTGTCCATGATTCCAGGTAGAGGTCTGATGAGACCATGCAGGACCTTAGACTATGTTTATGTAGTATAGTCACTACCATCTGTAGCGGGGAATCATGGGATGTCTGTGTGCCTCTATTGTTGTCACTGCTAGTCCTAATTAGAAAAAGCTAATCTGTTCATTTCTGCCATTTTTTGTGCATGTATAGTTTCTTCCTTCACCCACAGCGAATATCTAAATTTGAGGAGAGCACAATCTTCTGCTTCCTTTGGTGTGGACATTGTGCTGTCTCCACCTGGTTAACATTCATGGCTGTTTTTGAGTTAAGTCACTGAAGTGTGATCTGAATCTTTCATATTGCTTCAGTCATATGGAGACCATCTTTCAAATGAGGCTTCAGGTGGACAAAATGTGTGTAACTGATGTGATTAGGCTGTGCAAATACAAAGTACTTGCTCCTTGTTGCATTTTCTCCCTTAGTTTAAGGAAGTCTCAAGTGTGTTAGTTTGCGTTACATAGATCAACTACTTTCCTCCACCAGAAGTTAGATAGATTGTAGCATCAGTCAGGGCTGTAACCTCTGCTAGATGGCTGTACATGCGTGGACAGGTACTACTGTATTTCATACTTAGAAATAGCCTTGCTTCTGTCAGGAAGTATGGGTTCCATCTTTCCTTTTTGAGACCTTCATGACACCTCCGAGAGTGTATCGGAAGACTAGGAGAAGAGTAGAGCACAACTAGATGCAGTTCTAAAACTCACCATAATTACCCTGATGGGAAGGCTTTTGGATTAGACTCCTTCCCTTTGTGGTGGTGGGTGAAAAGTGCCTGTGGATCAGCTAGCAACCACGGGAACCTGCCTGTAGCATTTGTAGTGAGGAACATCCTCCCTGTGCAGCTTTTGGTGGCAGAGCCACTGCTGAAGAAGTGGCTCCACCTGAGCGGCTGGGAGGTTTCTAGTGCATGCATTTCTCCCTGCCCTTTCTCCTCTGGAGGACACTTCTGCTGGCAGCTGGATTCGATTCAGCAGCTGCCATGCTACTCTGGAGAGGTGTCATCTTCCCTAAACAGGGGAGCTTTTTGCCACCAACTTTCTACCTAGTATTTTTGGATGACTGGATAATATCTGCAGGGTACCTGCCGCCTCTATGCAAGAAGTTTCTGTAAAATTTGGGAAGCCAAAGCAAAGCTGGAACAATCTCCCATAGTTGGCTGATTGTATTTCTTTTTAAGCAAGTTACACTTTTTCATGCTCCTTTTTGTGGTTCTCGTATTGTCTCTGGCTGCTGGCATTCAGAGGTCTCCCATCAGTCAGGCCTTCTTTGTGCACTCTCAGGTAACCTTAAGGTGACTGTCTTTTTCCTTTCTCTGCCAGTGTTGGCTCTTGCCTTGTTTTGGGGACAGAATTCTTAATTTACAGCCCTGAAGCACAGCACAACGTTTTGGAGATTCTTTCCAATGCTTAAAACTGCTTTGTCTGGAGTTGGCAGGGCCCTCATTAACCCCCATCACCTGAGGCTTTGTGTTTGGCTCTGTTCCCTTTGCTGAGAAGTAGCAGTGATGTGGAAATCGAAGGCCTTTTATAATGCCAGACAGCCTTTGCCAGGCTACAGGGATGTCACCAGTGTCTAAAGAGATGACATGGGGAAAGACATAAAACCGGAAGGGAAAATAGATGGCCATGGGTCTCATTAATTTCAGGTTTTAATGGTGTGTTGCTCTGGGGAGATGTCACAGCTGGGTGAAGGGGGAGCAGGACACTGTGGCCAGCATGTATTGCATGAGTCAGTCAGACCATTGGGCAGCGTTACAGAAGTGACTCAGACTTAACATGGGTCCTGGTGTCTTCTGTTTATCATTTTTGGTTAATGGACAAAATTCATATTACTCTCAAAGCAAGGAAAACTCTTTGCTAGTTGTATGAAAGATCCTGCCAAGTTCTCAGGTGGAGTAAGGTTGGGAGATCTTGGGGGTTTTTCTTCTTCAAAACAGAAAGGTCAGGGAAATGATCAGCCCTGCTCAGCTTTTCTGGCAGGTGGTCTAATACTTAAGAGCGATCACAGACTGAAACTCTCACTTGTGTGGTTCCTCAGATGATGCTTTCTTATTTCCAAAGCACTTGCAGGGAAGACGTGCTTCTCTCACCTGAGGGACTGTCTTAGAAGGTGGAAATTTTTTGTCTTCTCTGTTGGTGTTACGGCTGAAAATCCCCAGTCAAGTCTAGTGCAGCAGAGCCAAAGCACGCCACCTTGCTTACCATGGCTTGGCATACTTGAGGCAGCAGGTGGAAAGAACAGGAGATGGCAGCAAGTAGGAATATGATGTAACTGAGAAGTGCAGGGATCAGTATGTAGTCTCTTAAGCTGTTGGGTTTGGTGAAGGCATTCAGTCAGGAAATATTTGGTACTTCTAGCAGTCCTCCTGGCTTCTTAAAGCATCATTTGCTATCGCTTAATTGGCTTGCCCAAAACTGGAAAAATGCAGAGTGTAAACAAAGATTATTGGCAGTTATATAGGATTTGGAACCACTTTGTTTCAGCAGAGGTCCTGCTTGAAGTAGGGGTTTGTAGTAGGAGAGCTCTTGCTTCTGCTTGGGATAGGTGCAGAAGGCTACCAGCATGAAATACCAAGCGCTGTTTAAATCAAGTTCATGCTTCAAAGTGAAAAGCTATGCAGATATAATAATCAAATATTTCCCTATCCCAGTACAGTGTCACAAGACTAAAATTTCTCTTGAAATACCTTAGCGTTCAGTAACCATCTATACCCGCATCTCTGAATCATCCTTCTCTGAAGCTCTTTGTTGCAGAGGATTATTTCATGCCATATTTGTCTAATGAGTTTCTGTGTTTAGGAAGCCAACAAGGCTTTGCAAGTGAAAGCATCAAGTGGCTCCCTCTGTGTGTTTTTTTTTTTTTAACGCTCAACATATTTGTAGCAATTCTTCTGTTCCTCTCCAGAATGGATGCACCTTACCCTCAGTGTTTACACTGTAAGGTTATCCCTTTAAAGAATTCCTGAGGGAAGTTCAAAAGGTTTTTTTTTTCTTTGAAACATTCAGTGTCTCTTCTTGTGTGTATGTCTCTTACTTGAAAGAAGGGAAAGGGAGGGGGGAGTGAAAAAAAAAAAAGTGCTTTATCTGAAAAGAATCACATCAGCTTCGCACTGATAGAAGCTGCTGTCATCTCTTAAACGGCTTAGCACAGTCAAAAGGCAAGAGGACTTAAAACAGTGTCTTACACAGGGATCGATGGGTGGAACACATAACTCGTAACTGCAAAAAAAAAGAAGCGCGGGGGGAGAGATAACGGTAATGATTGCATTGAGGGAAGCTTGAGGGAGGCTTGTTCTTTGTAACACAGCTTCAAAGGTGTCTGGACCAGTGCCTAAGCAAACTGTCCTGTGAAGTTGCTGCCTCTGTACGTCTGGGGAAGACGAGGGGGGATGCTTGCACCCTTCTGTTTCTTAGCAGATGGGACAAAGATTAGTAAATGCCAGGTTAGCAGCTCCCTTCTGCTGCTTCGGATTTGAGGAGACGATTTTGTCACTTGGTCTCTTGCTGTCTGTTCAGGAAGGTGGCTTGTCCAGGAGAGGGGCAGGAGGCGAGTGGCGGGTGGGGTGGTTGGGGAGATCGGGTGGGGGGACGGGATGTCAGTTTATCGATTGCACCTCAGTCAGGAGAGCTGCAGGCGCAGTGCTCTGAGCACGAGCGGCAGCGTGCTTAATGTGATTGAAAGGCAGTTAAAATGGCGGTGACCTTTTCAGGGGGAATTAGATTGCCTGCCAAGAGTGGTTAGAGGGAGTGATAACGCCAGCTTGAGGAAGCTGTCCAGTCTGCTTC